CCCACTCGGGACCCGCGGCCTCCGAGCCTCCGGCGACTCCCTCTCAGGTGACGTCAGGAGGCCTGGCTTCAGCGGCCTGAGCGTCTGCAGCTGCGATGAGCTTCTAGGGGCCGGGCCTCTTCCGGTCCTCGCTGACAGCTGCTGACAACGCAGCCCGCAGCTGGGGCGGGACATCACAGCCCCGGCCGTGCGGTGATCATTAGCACTGCCCACAGTCAACGTGAGAACTGCCCGTGGCCATGCGGTGACCGTTAGCACTGCCTGGGGTCCGACAGTGAACATTCATGGGTTAAACAAAGAGCTTGAAACCAAGTACATCGCATTCCAAGAATAATACCTTGCAGCGGCGGCTTTATCTGAGGAAACAGGAAACTTGTAATAAAGAAAACTTTTGGATAAGCTAAACAACACAAACCACCTACAAAGAGAGAGGAGAAAAACGCTTAATTAGGTGCACACTCTTATCAGATTTTTACTAGTTTTATCCCAATGGTATAAAATATTTTGACTGTCCTTTCACTAAGGACTAAATGCTGATTTCCTGGTCAGTAACTTTATGACATCAGTTTACTCTTGTGTGAGCAGTAGACATGCGTTTCCATCCAAAGTAGTTACAAAAATATTGAATTTTTAATAATAAAATTAATTTTAAAACAATTTATATAGAGGAAATATGTACATACATTTGAGTATGTGTATATATATATGTACAGGGTGGGGCAAAAGTAGGTTTACAGTTGTAACTATGGGAAAGTTTATTCTTGTATTACTATTTATAAATTATTGCATTATTTTCCATACAAACAACTGTAAACTACTTTTGCCCCACCCTGTATATGTATGCACGGCACAGACACAACACACACACACACACAAAATCAATCAAAATCACAATAAAAAGTTTGGATGAAGAGTTTGGTTTTGTTCTACTTGACAAATAATTTTAACCTTATCAGGAAATGTATAACCTTAAAGAATAATACATGTTCTTTTGGGAATGTTAAACAAAGAACTTGAAACCAGGTACATTCGTTTCTAGTTATTTTTATAATAATACACATTTGTGTATTATTATGAAAATAACTTAAAAGTGTGGTGCTGGCTTCCAAAAAGAACAGAAACAGATCTAAATATACATAAGAATTTAATATATGTTAAAATTGTCATTTCAAACAATGGAGATAATATATAACATTCAGTTGTTAATGTAAGAAACGTGTAGACCTGTAGAGAATCTTTATGAGTTTATATGAACCGAGCTGATAATTGCCAGGAAACAAAATCGTAATGGGTTGAGAAAATGCTCCGGAGAATGGCAGTTTTATAGCTAATCTTATACATTAACATCAAAGGAAGAGACCTAAGGAGAATTGCATGAAACCCATTGGTGGTAGATTAGGGAGGCAGGAGAAAGCAAAGCAGGGAAATCTCTGAGACTGAATAAAGAGTAAAACGGAGAGGCACATACTCCTTTTACATTGGTGGGCATAGGACAGTTAACATTTACCAGCACACAGAGATGGCATTCAGGGAACAAAATAACAATGAAGGTTTCATCAGAGAATTGTTCGTGGGAGTTGGGTCCTTGGGCACCACTGGAATAAGAATTTTGAGAGGACCCCATGGGAGGATGAGATGTGGTATAAAATAAACCAACAAACAAAAATGTAACCCCAATAAAGTCAATTACAAAAAAGAAATGTACTGCTTACTTTCAACATATTTTTAGAATTTGCAGCTTTCTTGTTAATTTCTATTTTTATACCTTTGTGTTCAGAAAAAATACTTGACATGATTTCAGTCTTCTCAAATTTGCTGACCTGTGTTGTGTCCTCTCATATGCTCTCTTCTGGGGAAAGTTCTGTGTGCATTTGAGAAGAATGTGTGTGCTACTGCTGTTGAATGGAATGTTCTGTAAGTCCTTTTGGTCGAATGTATGTTTCAAGTCCAACTTTTCCTTCTTGATTTTCTGTCTGATTATTTATCCTTGCTGAAAGTAGGGTACTGAACTTCCCTACTATTATTGTGTTGTCTATTCTCCCTTCAAATATTTTAGTATTGGCTTAATGTGTTTAGAGATTCTGATTTTGGGTGCATATACATTTGCAATTATTATATCTTCTTGATGAATTGATCCTTTACTATTATATAATCTTGTGTGTTACCATTTTTGGTTTAATGTCTATTTTGTTTGATATAAATATAGCAATTCCTGTTTTCTTTTGATGTCCACTTGCATGGAATCTATTTTTCATCCTTTGAGACTACCGTCTGTCCTTAAAGCTGATATGAGTCTCTTGTAGGCAGCATATAGTTGGTTTTTGTTATTTATTCATCCAACTGCTCTCTGCATTTTGATTGGTGAATTCAATCTATTTACACGTGGAGTTATCTGGTATGTAAGGACTTAGTGAAACCGTCTTATTACTTACTTTCTGGTTGTTTTGTATTTCCATTTTATGACCTCTGTTTTCTTCTACCTTTGTAAGTTGGTAATTTTCTGTGGTGGTATACTGTTTCCTCCTTATCTTTTGCAAATTTATTCTAGGTTTTTACATCTTGGTTAACACGAGGCTTACATAAGACATCTCACAGACAATAGAGCCCTTTTAAAGATAGTAACTTTGATTGCCTATAAAGGCTTTGCTGCCAGTGGATGAAACTCCCCTAACACTGGGGGGAGTGAGGTTCTTGGGGTGCTGCTGAAAAACATTTTCAGAAGCCCCCACTGGAGGATGGAATGTGGAAGAAGGATTTCTTTGTGTAAAGTTACCTTTCTCAGCTTTCAAAGTCCCCAACCCCTTAAACCAGTCCTGGAGGAGGGGCAGCTGGGAATTCAGCAGTCAGAAACGGGCGGTATCCAGAGTTCCCGTTCCATGTTGCAGCCAGTGTGATTTGGCATTCAGGCCAGCTCAAAGTCCGCTAGTCCACGTGGGGAGCCCAACATAACCATGCACCATATGCACGGGAGAGCGCAGCTCCTGCAGCAGGAGTCCCAAGAGAGAGCTCACTTCTTTGTTAAGTTTAAATATTTAGGTTTTGTGCCCTTGCAGCGGCCACGCCCATCCTGGCCAATTACTTGTTTACAGGTGTGATTGACAGGCAATTAGCCTCCCACATCATCAGACCTCACTGGGCATGAGTCTAAATTGCCTTCTAGTCCCTTCCCCCATCAATGAGTGGGGAACAGACTTGGAAAGTGTTAAATGCAGCTTTTTGGCAAAGCTGGATAAATTGCATGCCTATATATATAGCCTTCCCTTCCCTTCTTTCCTGTTAAATAATTACCAGGTTATTACAACGGCATCAGCTTTACACTTTTACTTGTCCCCTCTTATGTTTTTGATGCCACTTTTTACCTCTTATTGTATTGCATATTTATTAACAAATTGACATACCATTCTACTACAGAATTTCAGTTTTCCAAGTCTGATTGTATATTTTTCTTTACCAGTGTGTTGTATATTTTTATATGTTTTCATGTTGCTGGTTAGTGTCATTTCCTTTCAGCTTAAAAATCTTCTTTGCAAGGCATGTCAATGGTGATAAAATTGGCTTTTGTTTATCTGGGAAAGTATTTCTCCTTATCTGAAGGATAACTTTGCTGGATAGAGTATTCTTATCTGGCATGTTATTTCTTTCAACTCTGAATATATTACTCCACTTTCTCTGGGTGTGTAGGGGTTCTGGTCCGAAATCCACTGACAGTCTAATGGGGGTTCTTTTGGAAGTAACAATCCTTTTCCCCCCTGGTGCTTTTTTGCATTCTCTCTTTATATTTGATATTTGACAGTTTCATTATACTGTGTCTTGAGAAGGTCTTTTTGCATTGAGAGAACAGAATGATCGATTGGCTGTGTGATTTTTTAAAGTATTTTTTTACTATTGATTTCAGAGAGGAAGGGAGAGGAAGAGAGAGATAGAAACATCAATGATGAGAATCATTGATTAGCTAGCTGCCTCCTGCACGCCCCC